GTGCGAGGTCGAAACTGCAGTCCACTCCAGCCGGGATGAGAAAAACTTCTAGAAAAGCAAGGGTGTATGAAATTCAATGAAACGTCAGCTCTACTCATATCATTGTGGGAAAATTCTTCTTCTACCAGACCTTCATCACCTTGAATGAAATTGGGTGAAAACATCTCATATTACTGATTTACTGGTAGTCTCGAAACTCGACTTAAATGTGTAATATAAGCCTGTGTATACAGACTGAGGGTGTGATGAGTTGGTAGTCACCTGAGATGCGTGAAATCGTACATTCGGCCTCTGTTGACTGTGATGGTTTACCATTTCAAGCAGATCAAAAGAGCCAAAAAAGAATAAGTGCGGATATGGCACACAGTTCAGGTGCTGCAAGAGGGGAAAAGTGATGTTGTGAGAGTTGGACTGAGTCACTAACACATAATTCCCGGGCGTTTGTCTAGTTAGTTTGCATAAAATGTATAGCAAAGCCTATTCGGGGACGGTAACCGACACGGCTGTTTGTTCCGATATCAATTTAAAGACTCATTTCATTAAGAAGACTTAGGATGGCTAAAGATCTTATTCGAAACACTCACACAGCAAATAATAAATTTCATTAGTTGTAATTTCAACTGTAAGTTTGCCTCATCGCCAATTCCACAATATAGAAACGAGATTTGGGATAGGTCCGGTCTGGCTTCAAAGTCCGTGACTTGCGATTGTGTGATGGAGCGGTAGTGATTCACCACGTGACTCACGACCTGCCTCCCAATCCACTTAAGGGTGCTGATGAGACTTTGAAGAGATCAAAAGTGCAGTCCATTCTGGATGGGGCTAAATTAAACTGGATACCATATTAAAGCTTACTCATTTGATTGGCGGCAATTTCAACATTAGCCCTCAGTGGTTAAATTACCTTCAAGGACGTAGTCTAACTAAGTTTATCGTTCAAGAATTGCAGATAGCTTAGAAACATGTTCGCATGGAAAATAAACTTTTGCCCCACCGGCAGGATAGCTTAAAATGGAGGATATTTAGTGAAAATACCTTGTGCGAATTTCCGTGACAAGTTGATTATTATTGGTTTAGAGCAAATTTCCAGAATGATAATACCTTTTGAGAGGCAAGGCTAAATACTCATACTGTTGTGGGAAAAATTCAACTATCAGTGCTTCATCTATGGCGATTTAGGATGAATGAAGCTCTCAGTTAAGTTGACTTTTGTGAAGATTTGAACAAAATACAGGTGAATGAAAATAGCCACAAATGAATTGGTTTTGAGCTTACTTCTATCCTGAATATCCTGTCGTCGTGGTGTATATCTTCCGCAAAGACCAAGTCGAGCCAGGCGAGATGCAACCGATTCGACGGCTTTGGCTTTCCTGCAAAGTAGCGACGGGCTCATCACGGAAGGAGACGTGTTGACTGAAGAATGTGACATCATGCCAACTAGACCGGGGTCAGCATCGTCAAAAACATGGCGGTAATGCTCAAGTTGAGTGGGCAAGGCCTCAGGCCGGAGATCTAGCGTGAGCGGACCAAGCGATAGGGGAGAACGTATGGAGCTGGCGGGAAATGCTATAATAGGCTATGATGATGAGGGGTCGGTAAAAATGAATAGATACATGTTTGGATGCAGTTCATAGGTCGACACGTAGAAACGGGATAAAAGTTTTTAGAAAAATGCAAGCTGCACTCTCGAAACAAGTAGCTTTCGAGAGTATCCCTAATAGAAGTTGTTTGACCTTGTTTTCGCAACTTGGTCATATTGGTAGGAAGACTTATAGGAAACGCAC